TGTTTAATATTAAAAAGTGTACCGCTACTTTGAAAGAATGTTGAAACTATACCCTAGTGTCTGGCGGCCAAGGAAGTCTTCACTACAGACTTTACAACACAAGTGACGACAGCCTCCAATTAAATTGATACTATTAGGTCGCAACGAAAGTCCTGGCGGATTTCTTCAAAGTCCTGACAAACGGCTGCGCATTAACCTGGAGGGGAAATTTTTTAACCATATACAGGAATGGTAACATCCCTTCATATTTCCGAGTCTCACCTCCTGCAGGCCTTTTGGAGCCTGGAAAATGCCATAAGTTTCTACCCATGTACGCCACTGACTTCTTTGCGAATTTTGTATGGGACACACAGCGAGCGAAGCCTGCCGCAAAATATGCTCTGTGGAAGTAGGGGGAGTGGTAAGTGAAAAAACCTGCCAACTTTGGTTCAGAAGGCTCCGCGAAGGAAACTACAACCTCGAAGATGGACGCCCAACGAAAGTTAATTTCGAACGTTTGGAGCTGTTACTTCAAGACTTTCCGCATGCAAGCGCCATGGAGCTGGCAAAGGAGATGCACTGCTTCAACATGGCCACAGGTCGTGTTCATCACATGCTGGAAAAAGTTGAGAAACTTGGTCGATTGATCCCTCATGAGCTGACAGAGCATTGCAAGAAAAGAGGTATCGGGGTGTGCGGAGGTTTTCTTGCAAGGAGTCGCCGTTTCGACTGGTTGGATAATGTAATTACTGGAGATGAAAGGTGGGGGCTCTACCTATGTCATACCAGAAGAAGACAGTGAATGGGTGCGAACCAGAAGCCAGAGCCTGTTCCAAAGCAGGAGGTTCATCCCAAGAAAGTTCCTCTGTCAGTTTGGTGGAGAGTTCGGGGAACACGTCATTACGAGATGCCAGACAATACCATCGTCGACGCCGAGGTGTACTGCTCACAACCACGAAGGCTCGCAGTTGAAGTCGCGAAACTTCGCCCTGAGATGGACGAAGTTTTTCTTCTTCATGACAACGCGTGACCCCATGTTGCAAGGGTAACCCAGGACACATTGGCGGAACTTGGATCTGCGGTTTCACCCCATCCTCCATATTCGCCAGGTCTTGCACCTACGGATTACCACCCACTCCTTTCCCTGGCTCACTTCTCAAAGGATAAAAACTACGACAACTTTCAATAGTTGAAAGCGGACATGGGCACTTCTTCGACTCGAAGCCTGCCGAATTTTGAAGGAGAGGCATTTGTTTCCTTGTCGACCGATGGCGGACTGGTGTAAGTGCTTGTGGGAATTATTATTAAGAATAAAGTTCAATTCAAAGAAAGATGTGTGATAAAATTTGCCCAATTCTGCCAATTTCAGCCCACATGCAGCATTATTGAAACTTCATTCAAAGAATTTCGCTTCATTATTCTCTACAGACTCTCTCTTTGAAATCATTCAGGTCTGGCGATTTCCGATTTGATGTTCTTACTGCTTTGTGTACCTTTTACTGCAATTGACTACGCATTACCTGTGTGGATTTTTCCGGAATGGACGTGCAGTATGATCAATTTCTTTCAGGTCAGTTTCTATCATCTGTGGTCATGTTCACTAATGAAACGTTCTCAAAAACGAGAAACGAGCAAAACTCATATTAAACGTGTGTCTTCATAGCGCAAAACGAGCACTAATAGCTCCAGAATGAGTAAGCTCGAGGATATACTCAGCTTTGTTTTTTCCAAAATCTTCAGCCTAATATTCTGTTATGAGGATCACGCCAAGACCAAATATGTGACGTGCATAAATAAGTGCTTAAATGCGTGACATTTTGCACGTGGCTGCCAACGGATTCGCTGAAAAGCATACTTTTAACATTAGATTAAAAATCACATCGAGGATCTCGGAAGTGAGAGAGGAGGAGATTACAGACGAGTTATTTGCTAGCGGCTATGTCCTCATTTGGAATGTGATAAAGCAAAGTGCATGTACGTTGACTCTGAGATGACTTGTGCTTGACAAGCTGTCAGCAAACAAGGATGAACTTTTTGAGGGCTAAGGTTTATCGCGAAAAAGCAGTCAAATCGGAATGAAAGAAGGTATACTTCGTGTGCCGCACCCAGGTGCAATGAAGTTGCAGAAATTGTCATGGCATCAAAACAAGAGCATCTTGAAGAACGTAAGGCCGACGTCATACTTTGCGATTCGATTAGCGATTCGCTCGATTCGCTAGCGAATCGAGCGAATCGCTAATCGAATCGCAAAGTATGACGTCGGCCTAATACTGCCTTTCCATCGAGCATTTCGCCACGTGCGAGACGTCGTGCAACTTCAAGAGACAGAGTGTGTAAGGAACCTTGCGGCCAGATGGCATAGCACATCTTGATGGAAGTTATACGAAGCCAATAGTTACATTTTCGGATTTTTCGCGTCATTAGTGAGCAGGAAACATCTATAGCTCCTTTTTTGCGACTGCAGTAGCGCGTTTACATGAACAAGTGTTGCGGCAACACCACGGTATTATAAATTTGGGCTTGTCACGAAACAGGATCCCAAGTAAGTCACCTGGCTTATCTGGGTGACCGAAATTGGACCCTCAATTCTTTTAAAACGCTTCGACAACGAGCGGGATGGGAAATTAGGGGTATACATTAATCAGGGGTCATCGGTCCCGTCCTTGGACAAAGTCCACGCGAATGGGGTCGTATTGGCCAGGAAAGGGAGGGGGGTTGTGTGCGGCTCCGATCACACACGAGCGGGCGGATGAGTTCGAAAGATCAGCATCAAAACCTACACCGACGGGGTCGTAGGCGGTCAACGTCCCGTTGGACAAAGTCCTAAACGCGACGACGACGAGTATGCGCGAGAGTGAAACCCGCTACACGAGACCAGTACGGCTCGTGGCGTGCGAAAGTATGAATGCCCAGACCGCGCGAAGAGCGGTCAACCATCAAGAGCTAAACCAGTCGCTCAACCACTAGGCTAACAAGATAACGAGTATGACCCTGGTCGTAGGACGCCACGCCGTGTGAGTGCCTATGAAGAAAAAATTTGCCGTTTCACCCGTTCATAGTTGGTGTATTCTCCCCGGCTCGACGGCTATTTTGGTGAATCCTGAGCATACAAGCAACAGGTGGAAGGCCTGGTATCGGGCCTCCAGAACGGGGGTGGTAAAAATTCTGAAATTTGTTCCAACGTGGAACGTCGGCTCTTGCAACGTTAATCTGGGCTCTAAACCAACTTGACAAACGCAACATCCAATACGCTGTACTTCGTCAGCCTTACTCGCCTTGATATGAAAATGGCAAAACTTAGGCGGTTTGGTGGTATAGTGGTCTGAGGCGCAGATTAAGACCAACAGAGAAGGGTTTTATCTTCCTATGTACCTTTGAATGTAAACCCACACCTAGACCTAAACCCGACCTACGATGATGATGCAGTCAAGAGTGCTAGTTACAAATATGCAGTCTACAACTGCTAAAGTCAGCTTTCCAAGCAAGTTGGGGCGGCTGTAAGCAGCGTAAGCACATGGGTGAGCTAATCATATTCCGCATCAGTATTCCGCCAATTTTTTCAGAAACTCGGACAAATAGGGGCGGACAGGTAACCTGATTGCAACGAATACGACACTGGTTTTTGACACAGATCCACAGGTTCAGCTTGGAGTCACATTACTTTCTTCCGCCCATGATTTTGGCTTTCTGAGAACATGCTCAGAAAGTTCGCTGGCAGTTTCGGTCCTCATATCTGTTACTTGTATGCTGACCCTTTCGATTCCAGTAACCTAGCTTATTCATCCGGAGTTTTTACTTTCCATGGGAATTTGAATGCCTTCCCTAATGGGAGACATTCGATTACAGAATCGGGGGCAAAGAAACGTAGCCAAGTAGCGCGAAGCATCATATCCCACCAAGTCGGCTGTACCATCACAGGCCACTGAGCCGGCGAGACTGGCAATCTTTTAACTTTCAGGATAGCTCTATCCTGTTCAAGGAAGGAAATGAATCCATGCGTCTCCATCGTGACAAAACATGGAAAGAAAAGCTTATGATCAAAGCATTTGCTTTCAGCATATCTCTGCCTACTGTTCCGTATGGACATTGACGTTGATGGCCTTGGACCGATACTTGGCAGTCGTCTATCCAGTCGATTCACTCACATTGCGTTCACCTAAGAACACCATCATAGCCCTTGTTGTTATTTACACGATTATAGTGGCAACACAGGTAATTCGATTTTTACAGAGGTCATACCAGGTCGATTGAATATCCATATTTCTCTTGATCTTTGTTGGGAAGTTTGGATTCTATTTTTACTTACTACACCCTTTACTGCCCTTTTTATTCACAGCTTCTTTACTGCACCTTGGTACCACAGCGATCCATACCAAGCCTCCATCATTTGGTGCATCAACTTATAGTAGAATCCCGAAATTCTGCTTCCTTGCTGCAAATTTTATCAATCATCCACCTCAAAAATTAGTTTGCAACACCGGTAAAATACAGGGTGGACCAGAAAAAAAAGACACTTTGCCCATGGCGCACATCATCGAACTTTTCGTCGCACAGGGTGCCGTTGTTGATGAATGTTTTACGGCAGAATATTCCTTAGGTGTCCCCCATAAGCAGAAGCAGGCCCTACTTCAATGCCCTGTCGTTCTCAAATATGACGTCATCTTGAATCACCGTTCATGGAAAGAGCCATAGTAATCGCTCCAGCCTGAAATTTCTTCAGAACGGTAGCTCTTAATATGCAAGACCCTTTCCAACCAGCATTTCAGAAAACTCATAATGGTCCTATGACCCGTCGAGGACTAGTTGAGCTCGAACCGTACACAGGGTTCCTATGGCAAATTCTTGTGATGTCTTTGTACAGAACTATTATAGCATACATTATAGCGCATGAAAAGTCCCGAAAGAAGGAGAGGCGACTATTTCTTTATGCCCCTCTCGAGAAGGCCGGTTTTTTTTATCGAAATTGGTCATTGACTGTGAATTTGGCCAGAAACTTGCCTTCGGGGGTAATTCGACCCGTAGAACACGAACATCACATTTATTTACCGCTAGAACGCTTGGCGCTCGCGTCAGAAGCGCCCGGCGCCAAAAGGCGCCAGAACATCTCGGATCCCAAATTCGCTGGAAAGTTGTCCTCAGAGGTATTTTCACCAGTAGAATATGATTATTACATCAGTGAGTGACCTGTAACGTGCGCTACGAGCGCCCGCGCAAAACTGTTGTGATAGCGCCGGCGCCTGTGGCGCGGGCGCCAAGCGTTTTCGCTCTAAACCGGTATTATATTCGTGATCTACGGGTCAAATTACCCCTGAAGGCAAGTTTCTAGCAAAATCCACAGTCATGGACGAATTTCGATCAAAATCCGGCTCAGTTCTTGAGGAGTGGGGCAGTAAAGGGTAAATAGTGCCAGGTATGATTTAAT